TGTGTGTGTGTGTGTGTGTGTGTGTGTGTGTGTGTGTGTGTGTGTGTATGTGGTGGGATTGAGTGGGTTACAGGCAATAAAAGCAAAGCTGAGGAGTAGAAGTGATAACTGCTCCTGAGCGTCCTTCGGAAAGCGTATGCGCTGCTGTGTGTTTTATGCGGACCCCAGCCGAGGCAARCAGACAGGGCCCATCCATAACCCCGCGCAGCCTTGAGGGGTGGGGGTGATGGGGGGGCAGGAGCAGAGACACGAAGGCGAAGTGTATTTTTAGCTCTAATGAATTTCCCTTCCCYTTTTATACCCATTCTTGCGGGGGCTGTAGCAAGTTATGTATGAGYGGGGTTAGGGAGGCAATGGCAGGGGATGTGAGAATGGACAGATGTTGGTTAAAAACAGCTGGGGCAGACTTGAAGCAGAGCCCACAGAGGAGAGCRTTAGGGCAGCAGTAAATACAGAAGGAAGCAGAGAACGAGTTTGTTCCCAAAAAAGAATCCACGCAGAGAAGGAGACGAGTGAGCTAAAAAGAAACAATTTAAAAAAAAGAGAGAGTTTCCCGCTTTTCATTTATGAAATCCTGACAGATAATGGAGCGGGTTCACATCTGCGGTGTCACTATCTTAAATGAAAATGTCTCAATGCTGTCACAAAGTGCTTTTGGACAGCAGCAACGTCTCACGTTCTCAAAACCATTAGATAAATTCCTCCTTCTTTTTCAATTTAACTCAGCCTGATCGCAGATCCACCTCAAAAGGACTAGAACAACTCTAAAGTACAGAAATGTCACCAATAAAAGTTATTTATGTTAGACTGAAAAWTTTATTATAACAAGAGGACTGAATTGACAGTTCAAGGTTATTGAACCTGTGGCTTTTATGTGGCTACACTTTATAACATGATTTACTCATCTGGTTGTTTTTGTTTCTGTTATCTTACACTTTATCCTATAAGTATTTGGTTCAAGTTATCTGTTGTTGCATTGTTAGATTTATGTGACAAATTAGTTTATTTGAATAATTATTAAACTTTATCACCTCTTTTGTCTGCACAATGAACAGGATTTGTAGTGCTTTTCAGGATTTTTCAATTCAAACAACCTCATTAGACTCAAACTTGTTATAGAAAAGTGTCTTCTTCTGTTAGAAAAATGCAGCATCTCTTTTTTAACGCAAAATTTTTTTTCAAATTTAAATTAATTTAAATT